GCTGTTATTGGTATTTACCATCACAGACAATTTGAAAATGATATCTTAGACTTGTATTAGCATTCCAAGCTTTACATTGACTACGTATTTTACATTTAATAACTATCTGAGAACTTGGAGTAGCCAACAGCAGATGATCCTTTAAGTAAATTGGCATCCCACCAAACTGAACTGCTGACATGATGATGGCACTAGTTAGAGGATCACCAAAGCATATGTCCAGCTTTGGGGTTTTTTTTCATTAAGCGTTTTTGGTAACTCATGTGATCTTCTGTGATTTCACATACATCAGTATAGATCATATAGCATATAATGACCGTTTTGGCCACCTGGTATTCTCTGGGAATCCAGCCTTCTTGTCGTTGTGTGTATTATTTAAATATTTTTGTAATTTTTTTCCCAGCCACCGTGAATCATGAAGGTCCAGGGAATTTCTTGACTCTTACAGCTGGGTATGTTTTAAGTCAAACTGCTGTGCTAATACTGTACTTTTCTCTGAGGAAATTCTTGATATTTTTTATTATTAAGTTTGACTTTTCAACGGGTATGTTTTTTGTGTCTTTGGGGGGAGCAGGTTTAAGTTATAATGGCAATAATTGTTACTGTCCTTTTGAAGTCTGCAGCTTGGATGATGCCTACAGTTTAAAGGTCATGATCCGAATGTTGCTTGTTAAATGTAAAAGTTTGATTATATTATGATATTATAAATGTTTTTGTTTTGTTTCACTTCCTCAGGTATACCTTCCTAGCATGAGATTGGACCCATTGCCTTCAGATTTACCTTCATTCTTTTGAGGCATTAATTACGGTTAAACTGGATCCATGTGGTTATTTGGTGTTGGGTTGAGAGGTTTTGCGGTTTGTGAAGTGTGTTATCCTGTTGAAAGCAACCATCAGAAGGTGATTTTGATCATAAAGTGATAGACATGGTGAGCAACAATGATCAGGGTGGTGTTTAAACAGTTTGCAGTTTGTAGAAAGTGGTTCCAAGAGTGCCAAGAAAGTGTTACTCACACCATTACACCACTAGCAGCAGTGTTGGAGAGTAACTGAATGTACCAGCGTTATGTATTTAACCTCCTAGGACCCGGTGCCCACATATGTGGACATCACATTTTGGGTTGTCTAGAACAAAATACAAAATTTTGCTCTACAAGGGCCAGATAAACACTTACATGGATATTATGGTGCCACTGTTCTATCAAAATCAGTAAAAATAAAAAGCCATTTTGCAGATCTCTAGCATTAGAAGCCAAAAAATGTGTATCATATAGGTGTTATTTTGGTCCTTTACACGTCACACATAGTTGCGATAAAAACAACTCCTTCCTTGTTATTTAGTTCTGCTTTTTCTGTCTGGTTTCCTGTATTTTATTAATATGCCTCTGTTGCTAAGTCGACCTGTCACCCTCTGACCTAGTTCTCTCTCACAGCTGGCCTTGCTTTATACAGGCCTTTATTATTAAAATACATAAAAGAATATAATCAGAAAAAAGCACTAAGAATATATATTTATTCCGTAACATTGGGCACAGGTTTAGCTCTAATGGATGAGCGTGGCCGACCGAAGTTTTCAGTATAACCCGCGGGACCCTTTTTTTAAAAAAATTTTTTATTACTATTAATGAGGGCTATTCATCACCGAGCTAATGTTGTTAGCTGGCGTTAGTTCATAGACTGCAGACTGTTAGGCCATTTCTCCATGCTCAAGTGCTTCCTGAGAAAGCAATGACATCACTGCTCGAGAGTTTTTACTGCCATCCCCTCTTAATTTAACTGTGATTAATATTTGCAATGGAAATTACACATGACATAAAAATACACATTATGTAGTAGATTTCTTTATGAAAGAAAAACATACTTTTAAAAAAAGATTATCAAGCGCTTTGGCAAAATTTGTTTTTACGTATCATCTGTTTCATAATATCTAATAAGCTACAGTTAAGCACAATCACTACATGACAGAAACACAAGCTTAACCCTTTGATGTCCTCACCAAGAAAAAACTCAATGGGAATTTTTTTTTTTTTTGCATTTCTTATTGATTTGGGTTGGTAATTACCACAATTAATTTTTTTTTTTCAATAGACCCTGTAGTTTTTAAAATATTGATCTGTACCAAACGGTTGAGATGTCCGTTTATGGTAAAATGTCATGCAAATACAAGTACATTAGATATTGCAGTTGAAGAAAATCAAATAAAGGGCCAAATTATAATTAAATTAAAAACAAAAACTATCCCGGGCATTGGATACAGTTTATTTATAGTAGCATGCCAGTGAACATTCAGTTGATGGAATGAAAACAGCAAAGTATTATATCAAACAACAAAATACATAGTTTTTTCATCTGCAAATGTGAAAAATGTGCTGTGTGTGTTCAAATGCTAC